TATTTTTCAGCAAATAAATGGAAGTCAAGACTTAAATACACAGGGTGATAGAGAATTCCGAGCGCTATCAGAATATATAATTACTTTCCTTAAAATGTAGTTTTATATTGGCGATATTATTCTACTGATCCAAACTCTCAGAACTTATGCGCCAATGGAATATATATGGCAAAATCAAAAGAGATAATCGAGTACATCGTTTTCAGACTGACTATGAGCAAAAGATGCGTTGCATGATTATTATCGTTCATTGGCATCACTTTTTTTCTTTAGAACTTTTCATGACTTTTGCTACTGTAATACATATACAGTTAATCTTCAGATACAATTATAGTTGGCTTAGGACTTTCAATTATATTGATTGTTTTTATCAATCATGTTTATATGATAAGATGTAAAAAAAAAAGTCAACGAGAGAACACTACGAAATACTTTTCACATTTCAATAAATAAACGAGAACATTTTAAAGTCATAACATTCATAGCAGATCTAGACTTATTTTATTCAATGACTTAACATCAATGATATATTTATTACAATTGAGAATCCAAAAGAACTAGAATTTCCTAATACGAAGTTTGTGAAATAAATGTAATTGAGATAGTTAATAAGTGATAATACATACTATGATCATTATAGGTTTCTCTAATATGATTTATTAATGAATTATATACACACAATTAATACAACGAATAGACAAATAAACAGACACAACTAGAAACGGATAAAAATACGATGTCAACTTAGAATTCAAGAAAAAAAAATGAATAATAGGAAATAAAACTACTTTTGAAATTATAGAAATATTCAATCTTCAGATTCTGTTATTTCACGTTGTTTGGCTTGTTTCGTACCAGTATTTGAGGTTTGTATTTGTCCTTCATTCCGTCGATGATTAGGCCACAGTTGAAGTAAAGCTGTCTTTAATGTATTTCGAAACAAACGAGAAGTTAAAGTAGAAAGAAAAAACGACCTAACATTAATAAAATAGTACAAATTGTTAGTGAGATATATTGCAAAAGAATCGATGGTTAATCTCTCTGCACTTTTGACATCGAAAAATGTAACCATAAAGTAGATATAGGTACAAATCCATTGTAGTGCAAAGAAACATGTTACAAAAGCTTGTGCAAAAATCATAGTAACGAATTGATTTCGTGAGCGATTAATGTTTGTTTGTGTAGCTCCACCCTGAAAGATGAATTAATTATTTTCTTTTTCAAATACAAAACTAGAATATACTTACAACTCGTTGACGACTTTGTCTGACTTTTCGATAGGTTAGTAACACAAGGATAAGCATAATCGCTGGTGTCATAATACCATGAATGCCAATATACAAGAAACTATTGATGATCGGTTGTATTGAGACACATCCGATACCTGCTACAACATCGTAGAGAATTGGTGCATACAAAGATATAAGACAGCTTATAATGGTTGTGATAAGGATAAGCCATGGCACCATTTTGAGTTGATGAAGATACCACATGAAAGATGTTGGACCACAAGAGCAAGCGAATCGATCAATAAGAGACATGATCAATAAGTCCATGGATAATTGAGGTAAAAAAACTAGAATGAAGAGTTTCAACTTACAATAAAAACTGTTTGATATCCATATGGCTAAATTCTTCTGCTCCGACATAAAGTAATTAGGAAAGAGATTAACAAAAAGGTTAATAATATCAATCAATGAACCACATAGAGTGTAAATGCAACAAGGATTCAAACGAAGAGTCGGTTGAAGAAATGTAAAGGCATCACCGATAAATCCTATAAGACCGAGAATGGTAAATACAAGTGGTAATTGACTTATAATTCGATCTGATACGAAGTTCAGAATGGTAATAGTTGAACTCAATGATGATGTATCGATGAATATTGTTTCGTTATTTGCAGACATTTTGTTGAAAAAAAAAACCGATGAGAAATCAATACGATGTTAATCTATATTTCTATTTTTAAAGAAAACCAAGAGAAATTCGTCAAAACAATAAATGAAGAAATAACTCATTAATATGATAACACTCAACGTAATATGTGTTTGCAATTGAAGTAGTGAATATATCCCACTCGTGTTTATCAAAACTGTAACAAGTATGAAGACGAATGTTATTAAATATGTGATCAACGTTACTTAATATTTTATAATAAAAAGTATTTCATAGCTTGTAGGCTGCTTTTTATATCTTCGAAGTAATTAATGTTTACCTAAAAACCAAAATTGAATATATCATGCTTTTTCTTCATTCTCGTCTAGACTAATCGCTCTTCTAATTAAGATAATTTTGAAAGCAGATTTTGTTAGAATTTTGTGCTTGTGTATGAATAGAAAAATAATTTAACGAAATCTTTAATATCACATAGAACTAGAAAATAAATTCTCATTACTTTTAATCCTTGTTAGAAAATTATTGAACAAAATGCAATTAATTTGAATAGCCACGAGCACATTTGCTTTTAAGTTTATACGAATAAATTGTCAGCATAATCCATTCATCAACAACTTGTTACGGGTCATTAAGACAGATTAATTGTAAAAACGCGCGTCTCATCAGATCGACTAAAGTTCGTTGAAAAATTACAAGCAATATTTATGGGTGTGGATATGGGTATGGCTATGCGAGTGTGTGAGTGAGTGAAAACAAGATCCACACTGTCACCAACACCCTACACCCAATCATACCATCACAAAAAGTCTAGGATATCGTTCATATAAAAAATGAGTTAAACCACTTCTTATAGATGCAAAAGAACCAAAAGAATGAAATACACAAATTGGGTACATTGCCAGTATCAAAAAGACAACAATTTAAAATTTCTTTTTTTTGTTTTTTTTGATGAAAAGTTTTCAATTTGGATGGCATGTACAATGCTCGAAATTATTGTGTGTAGGTAATAAATTATGAAGAAGCTGATTAAAAATAGTGGTGTCAAGCAGCAACGAAACTTTCCTTATAGAGTTTTGGTTTGGTTGAAGGCATATTCGACAAGAGTAAAGTCAGTAATGATTTTTGATAAAAGAACAGTAGATCATCAACATTACATTGAAAACGTATTGCTAATGGCTTTGAAATATGACAATAAAGTACTTTGTGATGAATGAAGATTTCAACAAGACTGTGCCAAGCCACAGATACATCGTTATTTCAGGAATTGTGTGAACAAAATTTTTCATCATTAATGATAAAGATCATTGGCCTCTAAATTCACTTGGTTTGAACCCTCTAAACTACTCCATATGAGATGAACTCGTTCATCAAATCAATTCGAATAAAGCTCAATCAGAAAAGATTTTGATTGAGGAACTAAAGCGTACTGTTAAACGAATAAGACAAGAAGTTGTGTTGGAAAGTTGTGAAAGTTAGACTAATCATTTATATCGTTTGTCCAAAAATAATGGAGATCATTTACAATAATAAAAATAAGTTTTTTTTTGTAGAGAATTGAAAGAGATTTCTTTAAAAAAACTCAGGCTGCTAGCGCGAAAGGTGGCAGAGATATTTCATAAATAAAACATGATCATTATCTATAGGTGTTCTTTGAGCAGTGCTCTACGATTATACATTTACCATGTTTGAGTCTAATGTAAAATGCCGCTGATGTCATTGCGGGAAATGTATAATCTCAGCCATTTTTTGTACATTTTATAAATCCTAGTTTTTAAGCGGTTGCTACTTGGGTGCAGGTGTGGATGTTTTCTTCTAAGCCACACTCACATCCAGACCCATACCTACTCCCTAGTTAACTCGTTTGATGTTACTGGTAGTTTGACAGGCTAGTTTGCTTAGTTTTTGAAAAGCGCAGCCATATCTCAAGACGCATATACTAATACTTAATCAATTAAGATATGAAAGACTTATTTGCAATTAATTTTTTTTTTTGGAAACTTAGAAAGTTGCAATAATTGCAAGTATACGTAACTGCGTAGAATGCCAGCTGTGTATTGGAGTAAGGAGTCACAAGTAACAGGTTTGGATTCGATGGACAATATACACTAATCGACAATATTGCCCCGTTCTTTCCAGATTCTTGATTTCTAGGCAAGATTCTTTTTCTATTCCTTGTATACAAGATTCTTGCCTGAAAAAACTGATCTTGCCTTTCTGACAAGATTCCTGTAGACCGAATCTTGGCTAGCAAGGCAAGAAGTATGTCGCCAGGCAAGACTCTTGCGCTCTTGCTTTCTTGTCTGATTCTTTTTTCCTTGGATTCTTGTCTGATTCTTATATCTCTAATATCTTGCCTCTTTCTTGTCATATTAATAAAGCTTTTTATAGGATTTTATTACTACTTTTTTTCTTACTAATTTATTACGAACTTTACGTAAAATATACAAAAAAAAAACATAACAAAATATACTCAATTTCATATGAATTTATAATTATAATCCTCTTCATCGAATATATGATTATCAATACGTGTATCATCAACATCTGCACCATCATTATACCGTGAACAAGTATATTATCGAAAAGAAGTAGATCATTTGTTGTTTACGTGTATATAATGGTGGTTCTAAAAAACGATGACATATGAGCCAAAAAGAAAAAAAACTAAGTACATATTGCGATTACCTAATATATTAACAGCATCGTCCAGCAAAAATTTGAACAAATTATCGAAATTCTCTTCATTCTTTAAAAAAATAAATGCTGCAAGATCTACAAAATGAGACAAAGAGAAAGATATTGAATATTAGAATATCGATATGCATTCATCATTAATAAAAGTATATGTTAGAAAAAGATCGCTATTGTATATATTATTGTTATCTCTATATCCTATTGAAACAAAAAAGTTATCAGATGTCATTCGAATAAAATGATCATTTTAGAAAAGATACATACTCTAAGTGAAATTATACTATAGTTTTCACATCAAACAAAATGAATAAAAAATATTTTAACGTTTCTTTTATATATTCTAACACACAAAGACAACACATACCTTTTTTTTACTTAGAAAGCAGGCAAGAATCTTTTTCTTCCTTTCAAAAAGAAACTTCTCTGAAAAACAAAAAATTTAAAATATCTTATATTTCTTTCCAGCTTCTGTTTTTTCCTAATATTCTGACAAGATGCTTGCAATCTTGAATAGTAGACAAGATTCTTGTTTGAACTTAAAATATATCTTGACTATCTTATGATTCTTTTATTTCTGATCAATCAGGCAAGATTCTTTTTACTTTCCTATGGACAAGAATCTGGAAAGAAAGAGACAAGATCGTCGATTAGTATATAAATATCAATGTTTCGGAATCGTGTGCGACAACATTTGCATTATAACAATAATATTGTTTGAATTTCGTGTCTTAAATTTCACCGGTACATTTTGTCCAGAGTCATACATTGAAAGGCGAATAAACTGACGCCCCAGAAGTTTTAATAAATATAATAGCAGTAATACCGATAGTTCGAATTATGACCGAAAAAATTGATTGGAGTTAATAAGCCACATCGTTTTTCGTGTCGAGGATGTGAGTGCGGATTAAGATTTTCTATGCAATCATACCCTACACTCTGATAATGATATTCTTTTTCAAAGATTCGTTCTCTAATATAAGATAAATATTCTTTGGATATTCAAAAACAAATACAAGATAGACAGACAGACATTATTTTTTATCGAACGAAGAGAAGATTGATTTCATCAATGACATAATACTCAATTGTAATTTTACTTTTATTTCTTGCATATTGTTATTATTATTTATTTTCTAAACCTTACCCTTTGATCTTAATGGTCCTAAATGAACCGCTGCCTAATAACACACCAGTATCTATTGGAGTAATCTTAATAAAACCCGAAAGAAAAACAAAGAAGAAAATGTTATATATGCATCTATAAAAAAAAAGACGAATAAGAGTAAAAAAAATGCAGAAAATGAGTTATGGTACAAGTTTCATACTTAAATTACAAAAGAAAATATTATGAATGCTATCGTTATTATCCAATCCCTAAGAATATTCAGTCTTCGAAAAATTTTTTCCCATGAAAAAACCACATAGAAATGTGCAGAATTTTATGCTCAGTATGTCTAAGGTATTGAAAGTGAAACAACGAGAGATGACATATTTACACTCTAATTCAGATGTTTGCTTTTTAGAGTTCGAGAAAATAAGTTTTTCGAAGAGTAATACCATAGGATTTCCTCGAACTCAATCACGATTTTCATTTAGCCGAAATCTACAGGATTGAACATTTTTTTTCTTTGAAAAAAAACTGAGATGAAATCTCACATATTGCAATTTTATAACGTGAAAACGAAGAAGTTTATTCTAAGAAAACAAATGAAAAACTTTGGATTAATGTGATCTCTTTCAATAGATATCTCACAATTGACAAGAAAATTTCAATTGAGATTGGAATGGCTGAAAAACGAATAGATATAAGTATCTTAGAAAAAAAATTAATAATAATAAATCTTTATAAGCCAAATCAAATGTTTCATTTAGATGAGAATTCATTAAATTAAGTCACATTAAACACCCTTACAAGTATCTGTAAAAATTTTTCTAGCTCGACCTATCAAAGTCAAAGAATACTGTTGAGCTTATTAGATAGCTGCTATAAACAAGTAATAAAAGTATGTATTGGTTCTGAACAACAACAAAAACATGCAGTATATTTGTTAATTTTTGTTTTTTTATTGTTATCTAATGTTGTTCTTTTTCTTATGAATCGTTAGGTTGTGTTGCCCTTGAAACTGATCTGTATCAAACATTGTCTCATCTTGTTTTGTTTTTATCAAAGGATAATTCAACTATTTTAATCCATCTCATAATACTGATATATTTATTATTGGAAAATAAATCTTTACATTGTAAGCAGAATGAAATATGATACAAAAAATATAAAAAAAAATCTTTTGTATAAATTTCATAGTTTTCTATTTGATTAGTTTCACTAGCAATTTCTAGTCATTCTACATATATCTTGTATTGTATTAGGACAAGTTTATGCTCGATCAAATGTTAATCATCATTGGGATATAAAATGAATATTGTTGTAGGAATATTTTACATAAGTCATATTTCACACTTGTTAACCATTATGATACACTTTAACATCTGTTGAAAAACGAAATTATTTTATAGATCATTGAAGATTGTGTATCTCAAATAATACTAATAATTCATGATCAAATTATTAACTTATGTGAAAATGCATCAGTATCAATATTTGATAACATCAATACATATGATTAATGTATGTATTGATTTCAATACTTTCTTTCATTCAACATAGATGTGTATATGTGGTTGTTTTTCCATCTTTTTTACTCATCATTTGATAAGCTCGAATAAATCAAATATGAATAAAGCACTTTCATTCTCAATGTTTACGTAACTATATAATAAATCATCATCAACATACACCTGCACATCCTACGTAAAATGACTATTCAGATACACCTGCATGGGTATTGGATATTTACATTGAATCATCAATTACTAATTCTGATCTACGATAATAAGTATAAAAGGATGAATGATAGAAAGACAGATAGTTAATCGTAAACAAAACAACATATGGCTGAAACGAAAATCGAAAGTGCAACTTATTCGACAAAGACTGTCGAACATTCGACATCACCAGTACTGATTAATAATCCATCTATTCGTTCGGTACAAAATACAAACAATATAGAAATTATGTCTGGCATGCAACATCAAAATCAAAACTATCAATCACAAATTCATGATATTTGTAATAGTCCATTGATCAATAGGCAAGGAATTATTCAACGTTCATCATCTACTCATAATATTGATCAATTACCTAATCAAGCAATTTTACCACGTCTAGATCAATATCCTATCAATCAAGATCCATATCCTGAACATATTCATCGTCCTACAAATGAACATCTCACTTATCAGCAAGATATAGCTATTCGTTATTTACAACCACCTAGTCCACCACCACCAGGTCCTATTGTTGTACGTGAAATTCGAGCACCCCTACCTCCTGAAGCTCCTCCATTGATTGTACGTCAACATGCTAGTGCTCCTATGACTCCACCTCCAATGGTCATTCGTGAATGTCCACCAGTACCACCTCCAATAGAACCACCTTCTGTTGTTAATAAATTTTTACCAGCACCTCCACCACTTCCACGAAGAGTAATTATCGAAAGACAAGCACCATTACCTCCTAAACCACAACCTGTTATTATTGAAAAATGGCTTCCTTATAAACCACCTCCTGAACGACGTATAGTCGTTGAACCAGCTGCACCACTCATGCCAAGACCAATACCAAAAAATACAATAATAACATATGATGCTCCACATGTTGATATTGTTAAAAATGTTCGTCATCTTGGAGTTGTTCGTGCTGATCCACTTCTATATACTGCTCAATATGGTCCATGTTTACAACAAAATGAATATGTTCAAAATACAATGGCTAAGTTTGGTCTTGGAAATAATTATAGGGAAATGATTCAAATGCAAACAGCACAACATGGTCCATGTTTAGAACAGAATGAATATGTTCAAAATACAATGGCTAAATTTAATCTTGGAAATAATTATATGCAAATGAATCAAATGCAAACACCACAACATCCAGCCATAATGAATAATAATCAATTACAAGATAATTATGCTCGTCGTAATAGTCAACAATCAATGAGTATGATAGAACAAAGTACATCAAATATACATCAAATGCAACATGGAAATCAATATAACTATATAGAAAATCATGCAGGAATGATGTTACCTAATCAATGTTAATCGACTATTGATTGTTAAAATGACTTAGATGTTTTCCTATAGGAAAATATTTAATCACAAAGACTAATTCATTTTTCTTTTCTTTTTGCTTTTTTTTTTTTGCTTAGAAGAAAAGAGTTATTTTCATATATATTTGCACGAAATAGGTGTAGACGAATACTTATTTCAATAATGACGCTTCTTTTTATACTTCTTAAATAAACCAAAATATTATGACATAATTTTTTCAAAGAGAGTAACGTAAAGACACTTGAAGCTTTTGGAAATCACATGATCAAAAACTAGCTTGGAACTATTTCAACAAAATCAATTATTTACAGAAAAATAGAGTGTTCGATAGAACGTATTCAAAAGGCTAGATTCTTTGTGAGACTAAAAGATTAGTCAAGAACGATCTCTTCACTTTGAAACTTTTCTAGGATTTAATTAGACGATCACTATTTCAATTGACAGATTAAGCACCAATGGTCTAGCTTTTCTTCAAATGTGTCAACTCAAGAAAAAAACTCTATGGGATTAACATGTAACATGTGATGAACTGCTCTTGTTAATCACAGGGAGATTGTTTTACTCTATCTATTTTGGTCACATTTCTGGAGAAGTAGTAGTGCAGTTTTACGATCGTTTAGTTGTTCCTACGAACCACTTCCGAAGAATTATTTTCAACTGACTGATCGATTTTAAATTAGGACTATGTGCATAAGATAGACCTCACTGAGAGCTGAAAAAACTCCAAAGGATAAATTCTCTTAGACCTTCTATCAAGATTTATAGGCATTTTATTGAAATTTTAGTTTCAGTGTTGAATTTTGGAAGTTTCATCTCGAAAGAATATCTTCTTTTTCAAGAAATGAAAGTTTTCAACAACATTCATCTTTCAGGAAAGATGCTAGAAAGTTCTGTTTCTTGAGACTATAGTTTCTTGCACAAGAAATATTTTTTGAGCTGAAATTTTCAGAACATCCTAGTGATAAAGAGATCTGTCTGTGAGCGAAAGCTTAGACGGGAATACGTTTATTCGATCGTTTTTTTCTTGTTCACTAACTTTTCTTTGTTCACATCAGAAAAAAAAGTACAAACAGCGAAAACCTAATTCACACTTCACATTCTGAAAAATGACTTCTTTTTCAAATATTCATTTATTTTTAATCCAAGATCAATATTATTTGTATGTTAACAAAATTGATGAAAGATACATAAACAGGATTTCGCATCAAACTAAGAGAACATTGATTTAGTAAACGATATATACTCAATCGTCATTGTATTATTATTATCATTATTTATTTTCTATGTTTAAACCTGTAGTCTTAAATGAGCAGCTGCCTAATAACACGGCTATCTGTTGGAGTGATGTTAAAAACACCCGAAAGAAACATGCAAAGAATGATTTATGATGAAAGAGAATTTCACAAAAGAAAACTTAAAACAAAAAAGAACGATTGTCTGCGTTAGAATGTCACTGAATGTGTAGGTTAACATTGAATATATTGTATATTGATAATCGCTATCGAGTCAAACGAATTATAATTTGGTAATAAGTTTTACATATGGCTAAATGCATCTACATAAGAGACAAGTCGCATAGAACAAGAATGATAGCAAATCGATCTTTTTCATTGTTGTTTCAACCATTCTGTGTGCTTTCATCATTAGATAATACAACAATTTATCTATTGGATTCATTTGTTAGAAAAATCGTTGTTTTTATATTTCTAAGAGTGAGAATGACATAAGTAGAGTAAAAACAGACGAATTAGTATAAAAGATTGAAGCTGTATGTTGTAACTCTTATTGTTTTTGTTAATAATAGAAAAAATTTTAACATGATCATAACGAAATTGAATAGAGAAATATCTTCTCGGAATATTTCATCATAACGTTTTTTTGTTTACCCTATAATTTGTAATAAAAACATTCGGAGCATGTGGATATCACAATGAATTTGAGATTTTCTTTTTCATAACCACAGCCATACTCTCCATGAAATTTGAACTACTTTTTATTTCAAATATTAGCTTTCATCGTTCTCTAGAAAACTGTACCTTTTAGTGAATTACCTACATAAGTATTTTGTATAAATAAAGTCAATTTACAGAGAGGGAACATAATTTTTTTTTAAAATACCGTTTTAAAGCGTACGAAGCAGGCACGTACCGAAGGAGGGTCTATGGAGTTCGTCCTCCCCTCAGGACTGAAGATGCCTGTAGGGAGGTACAGGTATACGTTTTTTCCCAGCAAATTTTCGTATGGTGGCCCCTCCCTAAGGACTTTGGGCCCTCCCCTCAGAAAATTTCTGAGTAAGTGCCTGGTACGAAATGAAGGGTTGCCAAAGTTTCTATAACTTTCCCTATAAAAATCGAGATTTCGAGAGAGCATTGTTAGAGAATACTTTTCGGTGTCTGAAAAACTAACGTGTATAATTTATTTTTAGAGATCTTGTCATCGTATTTTATCTTGTATAGAAAGAATTACGTAAAAAAAAACTTCATTAACTATTAAAAATACTATCTACATTTCACATATGACATTATAAAAAATATCAAAAGATATATTATTATAAAATTTTTTTCTCACTAGTTTTAGTATCAATAGGATTATTCATGATCAATATTGGTAACTGTAATATAACGTCATCTATATCAAATACAAATCTGGAACAATATTTATTATAGTGTTGTCATTTTCTTATTCATTGTCGTAGAACTAACAATTTAATGTCATAGAATTCTCTACATTCGATGACTAAATACATGTACTTAATATGCTTACTCATTATGACATTTCACTTTTTCCTTCTTAAAATTTCTATTAATATTCGATAGAGTCATTCGTTTATTTGGTTAATGAATCTGACTTCTCTAGTCTAGGTTTTTTTTTCTTTTTTTGTATTAAACACAATTATCTTGCTGGAAAAAAAACATATCTTACAAAGCAAAGAAGTTTCTCGATTACTATCAAAAAAAACAATAGAAGAAAAAGAACGGTACTTGATTTCTTCTATTTCTCTTTCTTCCTAAAGCTTTGGCAGTAGCTGATAGGTTGAATATATTATTAAAAAAAAAAACATATGATTCATCTTCAAACTCCATTTTGTTTTTTTTCTTTATGCATACAAATAGTTTTTTCTTTACCTTGCACCGTTTTAGTGTTACTTGTGTAAGTATAGTTATTCATGTCTATATAAATGAAAAAGATAGATTTTATTCATATATATATATAAGATTTTTGAATTAGAATTTTCTTTTTCAGATGACAATAAATAGTTAAATTGTAAATTTTGTTCTTTGATTATCTATGGAAAATGTTATCTTGGAAAAAAAACTTGTTACGTTTAATTTCTATGACAAAAGTAAGTCGGAAGAAATAAAGGAAAATTTCTTTTTTTGCTTATTTTGTTTTTGTTTTTGTTTTCCAATCAAAGGATGTAGTTATGGTTATATAATTATGTTGACGACAAAAAAAACAGCAAAGGATAATGCCAAATTTTGAATTCACAATGGATAGATGTACACAACAAAAGTCGAAAAAAATAGTATTTGTTTTTTTTCATAGGTCTAATTGAAATTTTCCTATTCAAAACAAGAATAACTATTCGTTCAAATTATAATGATATGAAATATTATTAAGTACAACTAGATTATTGAACAAAAACAAAAAAAATCAAATTTATTGAAGATTTTCTTCATTATGTAAGTTTACGAAATCGATATATTTATTAATATTGATAAAAACAAAAGTATTAAACTAAAAACTATACATTTCTATTTTTATTTCTTTTTTATGAATGTAACAAAAAAAAAAATTTTTCAAAAACTGAATGATCAATATGATAATTATAATATTTTGTTATATAATCTAAATATGAAAGTGAGAATACTCGAGATTGACGTAATTTTTCATACTATACAAAATTATATAATAATCATATTTATCAATTAGTTTATGCAGAATAAAACACGTGCAATATCGCACGTGGTTAACCCTGCAGAAAATAATCGATTCACATGATCATTACGCCTTTTTGTATAACATGCAAAAAAAAAACTGCGTCAATCTATAGTATTTGTTTTCATATTTAAATTACACAAGATAATATGATAGTTATCATAGTTATTATCCAATCCCTGAGAATATTCAGTCTTCAAAAAATTTTTTTTTTAGTATTCATAAACAAACATAGATATGTTTAGTATTTCTAAGTGAAAGTAAACAGATTTACGTTGTAATTTAGATGTGTCATTTTAAGAGTTCGAGAAAAATAAGTTTTCGAAGAGTATGATCATAGGATTTCATTGAGTTCAATCATAACTTTCATTTAGTTTGAAACGTTTAGAACTGAAAACTTTTATTTTTTGTTTTTGCTTTTTAAAAAAAATACTCAGATGAAATCTTCCATATTGTAATTTCCTAACAGGAAAACGAAAGTATTTCCTATGATATTTATGCGTATATATGAGAAACTTTATTCTAAGATAAAAATTTGGGTTGATGTGACCTAATTTTGATAGATATAAATACTTTCATTTCTAGAAGTCATGATAAATAACAGAAGAAAAAAACAAAAAAGAAATATTTATTTTCATCACAACTTTCAACATATTCGAAAAATAATCTGATCTAATTTTACAGATGAAAATTACTTTAGACTTTCTTTTAGAATAAGATCTCTCATATGTCATTGAAAAGGGCGTAAATCTCTTAGAGACCTTTCTATGTAAGGAAATATTTACAAGTATCTGTAAAACGTTTTTTAGCTTGACATAGCAAGGTCAAAAGATACTATTGAGTTGATTAAATAGAAAAAGAAAACTCGTAAATAGCGTTACATTTAATCATGAACCTAGCAGCATAGGATAATTTGTCATATTTCAAGCAAGTGACAACAAACATATTAATTTCTAAAATGTGACATAAGCGCTGAAAATTTGTACGACTTTTGAAAAAAAAAAGTTGATAAATGTTTATTTATTGTTTTTATTTAGAATCAACAAATTTTTAATAAATAAATAACAAAAGTGTTGGTGTCTGAAGAAAAAATAAAAACATGAAGTATATTTATTAAGTTTTTGTTTTTTTATTGTAATCTAATGTTTTTCTTTCTGTTAGGAATCGTGTTAATAAGCATTGGACATTAAGTGAATGATAAAGAATTTATTTTTCAAATAATACTAATAATTCATGATCAAATTATTAACTTACATGTAAATTTCTCACTATCAATATTGAATTATATCAATATATATTATTAATGTAAGTATTGTTTCGAATAATTTCTTTTATTAAATATAGCAATAACCTTTGATGCAAATAATGTTGCACCGTAGTTTTCTACGGTATAAAGCTACTAAAAGAAATTTTTTTTTATAAGAAGATAGATAGTTATTTCCTTTTTCGAATCTTATACAACTTCTTTTTAAAAAGAAATTTTATATCATTCGAAAGAGGAAAAATTGTCTATTTTCTGGTAAAAAAAAAAAAAACCTTTCTTTCAGTATCTTTATATCGTAGAGAGATAGAGTCCGCCATTTGTTCCATTACTTTTGCGTCATAGTTTATATGGGACTAATTTCTACATTTCTTATTCATCATTTGATAAACTCGAATATGTTATATATAACTAAAACAGTTTGACTCATAATGTTTACGTAATTGTATAATAAACCATCATCAACATATAACTTTCCATCCTACGTAAAATGACTATTCAGATACACCTGAATGACTATTGAATACTGATATTGAATCATTAATTACTAATTGTAATATAAGATAATGAGTATAAAAGAATGATACAACAGCAGATAGTTCATAGTAAAAAAATAACATATGACCGAAACTAAAATCGAAAATACAACTTATTCGACAAAGACTGTTGAACATTCGACATCACCAGTACTGATTAATAATTCATCTATTCATTCGGTACAAAATACAAACAATATAGAAATTATGTCTGGCATGCAACATCAAAATCAAAACTATCAATTACAAATTCATGATATTACTAATAGTCCATTGATCAATAGGCAAGGAATTCTTCAATGTTCATCATCCACTCATAATATTGATCAATTAGCTAATCAAACAATTTTACCATATGTAAATCAATATCCTCTCAATCAAGATCCATATCCTGAACATATTCATCGTCCTACAAATGAACATCTCACTTATCATCAAGATATAGCTATACGTTATTTACAACCACCTAGTCCACCACCACCAGGTCCTATTGTTGTACGTGAAATTCGAGCACCTCTACCTCCTGAAGCTCCTCCATTAGTTGTACGTCAACATGCTAATGTTCCTATGACTCCACCTCCCATGATCATTCGTGAATGTCCACCAGTACCACCTCCAATAGAACCACCTTCTGTTGTTAATAAATTTTTACCAGCACCTCCACCACTTCCACGAAGAGTAATTATCGAAAGAGAAGCACCATTACCTCCTAAACCACAACCTGTTATTATTGAAAAATGGCTTCCTTATAAACCACCTCCTGAACGACGTATAGTCGTTGAACCAGCTGCACCACTCATGCCAAGACCAATACAAAAAAATACAATAATAACATATGATGCTCCACATGTTGATATTGTTAAAAATGTTCGTCATCTTGGAGTTGTTCGTGCTGATCCACTTCTATATACTGCTCAATATGGTCCATGTTTACAACAAAATGAATATGTTCAAAATACAATGGCTAAATTTGGTCTTGGAAATAATTATATGCAAATGATTCAAATGCAAACAACACCATACATACCCTTAATGGGTAGCAATCAATTAGAAGCTAATTATGCTCGTCGTAATAGTCAACAATCAATGACTATGATAGAACAAAATACATCAAATATACATCAAATGGAACAGGAAAATCAACATAATTATATAGAAAATCATGCAGGAGTGATTTTACCTGATCACCATCAATCGTCTATGGATAGTTTAGATGACTCAGATGTTTTCCTATAGGACAATATTTAATAATTAAAACTAATTCTTTTTTCGTGTTTTTTTTTTGCTTAGAAGAAAATAATTATTTTCCCATATATTTATACAAAATAAGTGTAAACGCGCACTTATTTCATTTATAACGCTTCCTTATATATACTTCTTAAATAAACCGATTGAGAAAAGACATCGATATCACAGGTTTACTAGGATCAAATCACAACAATTTGATTCATGACAAATGTTGTCCTGAAGTATTATATTTAATCATAAGGAGAATTAGGAGTATTAAAACTGTCAATAGAAAGTTGACGTTATTTTCTAATGACTCTTTACTATATTCAATTTTCAGAAATATGTTTTAAATCATTCAGAATATTTTTGATTTGAAAATGATTCTATTACAAATTATTCTCTTCTTTGTTTAGAATTGTTAATCACTCTCATTTACATCAAACATTCAAAATTTCTATTTTGGTCAAATATTATTATGAAATTCAATAATTCTTACTCATACAATCAATCTTTCTATTTCATTCACATTAAAAACAAAAAAAAAATATCATTATTTATCGTTGTTCATTTACATATAGATTTTTTATATTTCTAGATTTAATAGAAATTTTTCTTTTCTTTCATTCAAAAAAAAAAAGACTAAACAAAAATGGCTAGATCTGCAGATGCAGCAGCTAAGGATGAGAAACTTTCGACAGCTATATTAGATCAAAAAAAACGTCCAAATCGTTTAATTATTGCTGATGCTGTTAATGATGATAATAGTGTTGTTGCATTATCACAACAAAAAATGGATGAATTACAATTATTTCGTGGTGATACAGTTTTACTTAAAGGTAAAAAACGTCGTGAAACAATATGTATTGTTCTTGCTGATGATACATGTCCAAATGATCATATACGAATGAATCGTGTTGTACGAAATAATTTACGTGTAAGATCTGGTGATATTGTTTCAATACAAGCATGTCAAGATGTTAAATATGGTAAACGTATACATGTTTTACCTATTGATGATAGTGTTCAAGGCATAACAGGAAATTTATTTGAAGTTTATTTAAAACCATATTTTGTTGAAGCATATAGACCAGTTAAAAAAGGTGATGTTTTTATTGTACGTGCAGCTATGCGTGCTGTTGAATTTAAAGTTATTGAAACTGATCCAGCACCATATTGTATTGTTGCACCAGATACAGTTATACATTGTGAAGGTGATCCAATTAAACGTGAAGAAGAAGAAGCAGCTTTAAATGAAATTGGTTATGATGATATTGGTGGTTGTAGAAAACAATTAGCACAAATAAAAGAAATGGTTGAATTACCATTAAGACATCCACAATTATTTAAAACAATTGGTGTTAAACCACCAAGAGGTATACTTCTTTATGGACCTCCAGGCACAGGTATGATCACAATAAAAAAAAGAGAGAGAGAGAAAACTTATTTCTAAATTATTAAAAATTTAGGTAAAACTTTAATTGCACGTGCTGTAGCCAATGAAACAGGTGCATTCTTCTTTTTAATTAATGGACCGGAAATTATGTCAAAATTAGCTGGTGAATCAGAATCAAATTTACGAAAAGCTTTTGAAGAAGCGGAAAAGGTAAAATAAACAAATCTTATCTAGAATATTGTTTACATAAAATAATTACTTTTCATATAAACTTAATTTTGTGTTTTTTTTTTAGAATTCTCCAGCTATTATATTCATTGATGAACTTGATGCAATAGCACCAAAACGTGAAAAAACTCATGGTGAAGTTGAACGTCGTATTGTTTCACAATTATTAACATTAATGGATGGTCTTAAACAACGTTCACATGTTATTGTTATGGCTGCAACAAATCGACCTAATTCAGTTGATCCAGCACTTCGTCGTTTTGGTCGTTTTGATCGTGAAGTTGATATTGGTATACCTGATGCTGTTGGTCGTTTAGAAATTCTTCGTATACATACAAAAAATATGAAATTAGGTGATGATGTTGATTTAGTACAAATTGGTAATGAAACACATGGTTATGTTGGTGCTGATTTAGCATCATTATGTTCTGAAGCAGCATTACAACAAATACGTGAAAAAATGGATGTTATCGATTTAGAAGAAGATACAATTGATGCTGAAGTTCTTGATTCATTAGCTGTAACACAAGATAATTTTCGTTTTGCACTTAATCAATCAAATCCATCAGCATTACGTGAAACAGTTGTTGAAGTACCAACTGTTACATGGGAAGATATTGGTGGTTTAGAAAATGTTAAACGTGAATTACAAGAATTAGTTCAATATCCAGTTGAACATCCAGAAAAATTTCTTAAATTTGGTATGACACCATCACGTGGTGTACTTTTTTATGGACCACCAGGTTGTGGTAAGTATAATCTAATTTATTATCTTATTTCAATTGTTTATATGTTCGTTTTTTTTTTTTTTGTCTTTAGGTAAAACATTATTAGCAAAAGCTATTGCTAATGAATGTCAAGCAAATTTTATTTCAGTTAAAGGTCCTGAATTATTAACAATGTGGTTTGGTGAATCGGAAGCTAATGTACGTGATGTTTTTGATAAAGCTCGTCAAGCTGCACCATGTGTACTCTTTTTTGATGAATTAGATTCAATTGGTAAGAAAACTAAACAAAAAAAAAACGACACGCATCAATCATAAAATTTGGGATTGTTTTTTTTTTATAGCTAAATCTCGTGGTGGTAGTGTTGGTGATGGTGGTGGTGCTGCTGATCGAGTTATTAATCAAATTTTAACTGAAATGGATGGTATGGGTGCCAAAAAGAATGTTTTTATTATTGGTGCCACAAATCGACCGGATATTATCGATTCAGCTATTCTTCGTCCAGGTAAAAAACAAAACCATAGTCTTCTTCAAGAGAGTAACGTCCTCTGCTTTTGAAAATTTTTGTTTTTTTTAACAACAAAAAAGCTCTTTTCTGGGACTATAGCTGCTGAATTGATATGAATAAATACCTTACACCCCCTGCTCTCGAGACTTCGGTATGCCTCTGATCTTCTTTCTCTTTAATTTTTATAATATTGAAAAACAAAAACTAATTTATTTTTTGTATATAATTAAATAATATTCTTTATATATAGGTCGTCTTGATCAATTAATTTATATTCCATTACCTGATGAAAAATCTCGTATAGCTATTCTTAAAGCTGCTTTAAGAAAATCACCTGTTGCTAAAGATGTTGATATGGACTTTTTAGCTAATGTTACAAAAGGTTTTAGTGGTGCTGATTTAACTGAAATATGTCAACGTGCATGTAAATTAGCTATACGTGAATCAATTGAAAAAGATCTTGATAGAGAAAAAGAACGACAACGTACTGGACAAACAGCAATGGATGCTGATGAACCTGATCTTGTACCAGAAATTCGTCGTGATCATTTTGAAGATGCTATGAAATTTGCACGACGATCTGTTAGTGATAATGATATACGTAAATATGAAATGTTTGCTCAAACATTACAACAATCACGAGGTTTTGGTACACAATTTCGTTTTCCTGATCAAGAACGACCATCACAAGGTGGAAGTGGTAAATAAACAGATTTAAAAAAAAAACATCATTATGAAATATTTCTAAATTTTATATATATATATTTTTTTTTTTCTTTAATAGGTGGTGGTGGTGGTGGTCGTGGTAATGATGATGATGATTTGTACAACTAATTACAACAATAATATTTGTCCAGAACAAAACCTTTTTGTTTCCCATCTTCTTCTTTTTTTTTTGAAATAATTCAGAAAATGATTTGTTCACATTCTAGCATTTTTTTCAGTTTAACAAAGAAAAAAAAGAAAAAGTATATAACTCAATTTTAGTTTATATATTTATTTTGTTTGTCATCAATTTATGTTCTATGGATTAGCTACTTTTACGCATTGACAAAAATACATCAATATTAGACTTCCAATTTCTTATTGAACTTTGTTTTTTTTTTCTTTTTTCATGAGTGTATAAAACATGTCAACAGATATAAATAATGAACTTTTGAAAATCATAGAATAATTAATAATGATTGTGAAGAAAACAAAAAAAAAGGTTATGTATTCGTTTTTGATAACAAATAAGCTGTTCAAAATTTATAATAATTAAAACAACGGATATTCTCATGAACTGAATAACCTTCATTTTAATTTTGATTGATTGACATATGAGCTAAATTAGTGAAAACGGGACATTCATCCATTGTATTTGAATGCAATTCTCTATCACTATAGGCTTTTTGAGTGAATTGTTTTTGCATAGACTCATGTCAAATTGTCTACTCTTTCACATGGTTATTAATTAATTAAGAAGTAATTAGCGAATACCTCGATAACCGAATGATGAAAAAGCTTGAAAACTTCAGGATATGCTCTAGGATATGAGCCGCATATACGCTAAAATTTTCAGCGAGATCAGACATCAAAAACTTTCTTCCAAAAAATCGACCTTTCAGAGCCTTTAGACAGAGCTGAAATGAAAATGTTTGTTTTAGTATTATTCTAGGGACTCCTACCATTGACATGAGCCCCTTGAAATTGATTTCGAACTTTTCAGTTCGTTACCAGAGCATTTGAACGGTAGTGAAGTCGTACTCAGTCATGTCGCTAACGCCGAATAAATTTTATTTTTTGAAAAATCTAGACATGTTCAAAATAATTTTACACCGGGATTTAGGAGTCATGTCTTATATCGCGTATTAAGTTTTCGACGATTGTGTAACACTTGAAAATTTTTAAAACCCAAAGTATATCAAGTGACAGTTGATGTCCTTTTTGGTGTCACGTTGCTAACGCTAGTTTTTCGTTAATAATTACACCTAAACCAGCTGAGAATTTCGAGATATGCATACTCTAAGTTTGTGATGTCACGGCGCTAACGAATGATTTAGCCCGTATATTGATAAATTATATTTTATTTAAAACAATTAAAGAAAAGCTTATTCATATATACATAGATATATTTAAAATAAAGTGTTTTTCAATGAATCATTAACCCTT